CTCTAGGAGAGGCAGTTCAGCAGTGTTTGTGACTGCTCCACTCTAAGCATTCCCCATTTCTTTCAGGCACATGGCCTAGAGTTGAGCAGAGCATGTGCATACACACACTCTCTTGCCAGCGTGCATATAATGCAAAGACAGTACTGTACTTCTCTGCACAGAATACAGATGAATTTTATGACCGGTGCTGGTAAACAGGTGGGAAGCATTTCAGAAGCCACATTAGTCTGCATGCTTGTCTGTCTTTGTTTCATCTTTTAGTTGTGAGAGTAGTTAGGCAGAAAGCTGTGTGAAATGTATCTTTAATCATCACGTTAGGGTTTTTAAAAGAGGGGCAGAGGGTTTTCATTAAAAGAGTAACATGTAAGAAGCAGTGATTTTCACTGATCTTTTTTCTTCAGTTGCCTTGACGCCAAACCATCCCACCCCTCCCAAACCTCACTTACGGTAGCTATAAGGCAAGCTAATGGGAGCTCTCCTTTTAGGGTGCTGGCAGCTGTTCAGAAAGGGCAGAGGAGGAAAAGATTGTTTTCCCTGTATTGCTTTCCTAAAGAATCTATCCCCATGCTTGCTTTTAATTAAAAACCTGAACATTCATGTTTGAATTACACTGCCAAAATCTTAAAACACTCTATCTAAAACAGGGGTCTCCAATCTTGGCAACTTTAAGACTTGTGGACTTCAACTCCCAGCAAAGCTGGCTGAGGAACTCTGGGAGTTGAAGTCCACAGGTCTTAAAGTTGCCAGGGTTGGAGACCCCTGATCTAGAACACACCATGTCAATTTGATACTGCTTGCCAGTGGTGGGTTTCAAATTGTTTTACTACCGGTTCAGTGGGTGTGGCTTGGTGGGCGTGGCAGGGGAAGGATACTATAAAATCTCCATTCCTTTCCCAATTCAGGGGAAGGTTACTGCATTTCCTCCTGATAAGCTGGGACTCGGGAGGCAGAGACTAGATGGGGGCGAGGCCAGTCAGAGGTGGTATTTACCGGTTCTCCAAACTACTCAAAATTTCTACTACCGGTTCTCCAGAACTGGTCAGAATATGCTGAAACCCACCTCTGCTGCATAAAGTTAGCTTTTGAATTCCATGGTCTCTTTGTCTCTGCTTCATTGGTTACTTTATTACACTATGGCAACCTGTAAATCCAAGCAGGTACTATAAACTATTGTAAAACTAAAGTAGATATGGCAAAAGCTTGGTAGAATTTGTAAGTCTATGGTATATGTAGCTATCTTGTTTTTGTGTTTAAAAAAGGATATTTTCAATTACAAACCCAGGAGTGGAGATACAATGAGATAAAGTCTTTAGAAAGCTGCACACAAACCACAATTTTATAACCAAGACAGTGCAGAGCAGCATCTGTACAGGATTTTTTATGTAAGCTAAAATTTGCTGGAAGGCTACATAGTTTTGGCTTTTCCCAAGATAATACGTGGCTCAGTTGTTTGTGTAAACAATGCTTCAAAACAAGTACTTAACAACTCTCCCATGCCATTTTAGCACTTTTAACTTTCTAGCTATGTTACATTTCATTTTTAGAAAGCAGTGTTTTAAATTTGTAGAAAAAAAAAACCCTATTGTTGGCACTAATCTCATATGCCAGAGAATGTAGGATTTGCCTTTTCAAGCTTTCTGTAGTCTTAAAATCCTTCTTGATTGGATTCAATGGATATCCTGAGTCCCAAACTAGCCAATATATTTGAACCTAAGTTGCGGTGAAAACAACATTGGTATATGGTTAACATATGGTTGTATTTCATGAAAACTAGAAAACTGGGTTAATTACCATACTTTTTGGCGTATAAGATGCACTTTCCCTCCCCCTAAAAGTGGGTGAATATTGCGGTGCGTCTTATACACTGAATGTTGCCGAAGCCCCACCCATCCACCGGCCCCCACCCTTCGGCCATTTTCAGCCTCCATGTGTCGCATTTTCGGCTGTGGGGATCCCCACAGCACATTGCTACTGATCGCCACCTCTGCGCATTATGTTTTTGGCCTCCGTGCATCACATTTTCAGGCAGTTCCAGCGGCGGGGATCAGCGGCGGCAGTGGCAGCAATCCCTGCTGCCTGGAACCAGCCCAAAATGTGATACACAAAGGCCAAAAACACAATGCACGGAGCCAAAAACGTGACACATGGAGGTGGCAATGGGCTCTGATGATCCCCGCAGCCTGGAACAGCTAATTGGTGGTATCCCAGGAGGCCGATCCAACTACCAATCAGCTGTTCGTGCTAAATCAGGCTGCAATAATGGACTGAAGCTTACCAGGCTGTTTGCTGCAAGGATGCTACCCAGATGAATACCGATAGATGCTGGCAGGTAGAGGCAATTTTTTTTTTGTTTTCCTCCCCAAAAACTAATGTGTGTCTTATACTCTGGAGGCTGGAACATCTTATACTCCGGAAAATACGGTAGTAAATCATCATTTACCAGAAGCGGGCAATATAGCTGTATGTACAACAATACAAGTTATTTTCATATCTGCAAACTTAGACAGCAATTAAACTCCAAATAACCTGGCAATAACATTTGAGAATTTCTTGTAAGTTACACAACTGAGTCTCCTGAGTTCTGTTATACAGCATTCTCTGCCAGCACAGCTGGCTGCCAGGAAGCAAGTTAGTAAGCCTTGAATCTGCCACAGGCCAGAGATAAGGAAATTCAGTGTTTTACTGCAATTAGCTAGAATAAAACAGCTCTTGAAAAGTGTTTTTGCAGTACCTTTGAGGATAGACTGTACTTATGGTCAAAACAGACATTGAAACCAGTAAGCTACCAATCAAATAACAAAGTCACCGGAGAAGCAATAAATGAGGTCAAAATAAATCTAAGATCAAAAACAGCAATGCAGGATATTCACAGGGAAGAGCTGAATTTCTGATAAATTGTTCTCAACACTGTCTGCAGGGACAGTATAGTTAAATAAGCCACACTGAATCTCCCCCTCATCAAAGAGTAGCTGCAAAGTCTGTTCTTCTGTTAGCACTCACCAGGTTAGCCTCCCAGATCTGCAAAGTTGAGCCTTTGAGCCAAAGTTGAGTCATAGATCTTCATTAAATGCCTCTGCCTAGGATTAAGTGACTGGGCTTCTGAATCTAAGAGATTATCAGTGATATGGGTGAGGGGTCCTGTGGACTTGCTGGCTTTGTTAAGGTCAGAGTGAGATCATCGGCTCTGTATTGCTGGAATCTCCAGTAACAGGATTGCTACCATTTCAGTGGTGGAATTCAATTTTTTTTACTTCTGGATCTGTGGGTGTGGCTTGGTGGGCGTGGTGTGGCTTGGTGGGCGTGGAAGGATACTGCAAAATCTCCATTTCCACCCCACTCCAGGGGAAGGATACTGCAAAATCTCCATTCCCACCCCACTCTGGGGCCAGCCAGAGGTGGTATGTGCCAGTTCTCTGAACTACTCAAAATTTCTGCTACCGGTTCTCCAGAACCTGTCAGAACCTGCTGAACAGCACTCCTGTACCACTTGATGCTTCTGATACCACTTTCTTTGTAAATTAGGTATATTCTAATAATGAAATAGCGGAGGACTAGAACTCATGGTCTCCCAATTTCTAGCCCGATGCCTTCATTATTATACCAGACCATCTCTCAACTGTGTATATAGTCTTCATTTAAGACAAGGCAGTTGACAGTCTTAATGTATTCAGAAACAGAATTATCAGATTAAAATTGTACAGATAGTCCTCAAATTACGATTACAATTGAGCCTAAAATTTCTGTTGTTAAGCGAGACATCTGTTAAGTGAGTTTTGTCCCATTTTACGACCTTTCTTGCCACTGTTGTTAACTGAATCACTGACCTTGTTAAATGAATAACACAGTTGTTAAATGAATCTGGCTTCCCCATTGACTTTGCTTGTCAGAAGGTTGCAAGAGGGGATCCCATGACCCTGGGACACTGCAACTGTCATAAATGTGAGTCAGTGGCTAAGTGTCTGATTTTGATCCTGTGACCGTGTGGATGCCGCAAGTCGTAAAAGGGTCACAAATCACTTTTTCAGTGTTGTTGTAACTTTGAACGGTCACTAAACTGTTGTAAATCGAGGACTACCTGTATACATTCAGAGCAGCACTAGATGGCAATAAAGAGATACAGGAAGTTCTAACTATTCTATCACCTGGTGGGCATCTTAGGCTTCATAGCTCTATTTTGAAAGAAAGTGTTTAACTATTTCATTGATTAACCACCATATATCATCAAAACCCATAAAATGCTAATAGTATCTCCTAGCCTATTCTGCAGGTATAAAAATGTATTCTCTACGGTGAACCACTCCCCCCATCCTGCTATTCTCAAAATATTTCTCTAGTGCTAGATGAAACACTCTAATGATTTTTAACCCCTACCGTTCATAAACTCTACTACTGCAGTGAAAGATATAAACAAGATGATCTTTGAAGTGTAAACTCCAATCCCTGTGATCTCCAGGTAACGTTAAATCTAGGTGGGCAAAATCCTTCTGCATGACACCATTACCGCTATTGATCATCATGGGTCTAAATGGGCAAAAGTTTTGATTGCATTTGATTGGGAGGTAACTGTCCAACACACTGTAGTTGTTCAGTCACTAAGTTGTGTCTGACTCTTTGCAACCCCAGGGACTGTCACACATCAGGGCCCCCTGTCCTCCACTGTCTCCTGGAGTTTGCCCGAAAGTCCACTGCACACTCATCTCTATATCAGCTTCATATTCTTACATAGCTGCAGTATGACAGTCGTAAGGTTTATGATGTCAAGGTGCATGTGGAACAGATTTATTCTGGCAAGCCAAACAATTGCTACAATAGAAGCAGACCTTTCTCAAAGCATCCACTGTGTCACTGACATTACTGAAATTTTAGCACTTTGACTGTGAAGGAGGTCCAAATAGAATGCCACAACTAGTAGTTCTCCAAAGCTTTTCCTTGGCCACATTTGTTTGATTTCAAGATGCTAGGAGAATCTTGTTTTGTTTTTGTTTTTGTCTGTTTTGCAGGTGTACCTTTCCCTAAGAATTTCCAGCAGGTCTGCACAAAGATTCTCACACGCCTCTTCAGGGTTTTCGTCCATGTTTATATCCACCACTTTGACAGCATCATCGGTATTGGTGCTGAAGCTCATGTCAACACTTGCTACAAACACTTTTACTACTTCATCAATGAATTCAGTTTGGTTGATCAAAGGGAATTAGAACCACTGGTAAGAAACATCCTATCTTCCTTCTCACTTCTAAACCAGGGGTATCAAACTTGCGTTGTCACAGCGTCATCATGTGACATATTGTGACTTTTCCCCCCCCTTCACTAAAGTGGGTGTGGGCATGGCCAGCACATGATGCATCCGCCTCGCGGACCGCAAGTTTGACAGCCCTGTTCTAAACAGTAAAGATTTCCTTTGGGTGAAAGAATGCTGGAGGGAGCAGTTCTGCAGAAATAACACAGGGATCCTTTAGCTTATTGCTTTGCAGGTTCCTAGCGATTAAGTCATGCACAGTTAATCTGCACAGGCACATAGTTTTTATGTTGCACAGACAGGGAAGTAAATTAGGGAGACATTTGGGATGGTGGTGGATGAGAACATACTTTTGGAACAAGACAAACTGATCCAGAATAGAACAAAGAGATCACAAAGAGCAGAAATTTCATCTACACAACAACAACCCGCAACTCTAATTGAATACCACCAAAGCATCTGTATTCCTATTTTTTTGTTTTTTTTGAGAACAGGGACTTAATGCATTTATTTTTGCTTTAGAATTAAATATAGGTAATTCAAGAGCTGCATTAAAACTTCCCAGTTGTGTACTTCCTAGGTGCCTTAAGTAATACATGTGTAATGAGTCACAGGAGTAAATTATCCACATCAAGATTCCAGCGCAGTACAGCTTCACTTTTTATTTGTTAATTAATTAATTAATTGGTTCAATTTATATGCCACCCTTCTCCGGAGACTCAGGGTGGCTTACAATGCTTTTAAGCAATAGCCTTCATACTTTTGTATATACCTGCTTAGTAGGGCTTTCGGCCCCCCCAAGCGGTGTTCTTTTTTATACAAAGTCAGTTTATTGCCCCCACAATCCGGGTCCTCATTATTAGATTTATATGGTGTTTTTCATCCAAAAGCTCAAGATAGCTTCCAAAGGAACCTCTTTAATTTTATCCCCACAACAGCAACCCTGTTGTGGGGTAATAGATTTAAAGGGAGTGACATTTAGAGGAAACCCAGCAACTTCCCATGCTTATGCTTAACCATACATTTTAAAACATTTGTTGAACTAAACCAATTTTGGTTAGCTTCACTCAGTGCAGAAACCAAAAGCTGTAACTTATGAATTACTGGGTTCATTTATTGCACTAAGCTGTAGTGCAATATGATTGTAATACGGTGTAATGTGATTTTTTTTAGGTTTTCAATTTAGCAAGACGTGTGAACCCGGCTGCATCAAAATGATTTACTCCACCTGAAATCTATTTTTTTCTTATTTGCTGTTTGGGAGCAGTTTTGTAGATGAGGATATATATGCAGTGTTTCACATATATCAGAATAACTGCTGATCTTAAAAGGCAATTAAAACACAGGAAATCAATGACGGTGGGAAGAAGGGAAAAAAAACCTGTAATAACTTCCCTCCTTCCTGCTGTTTCCCTTAAGGGATAATAAGAGGAAGTTTCTCCACAAATACCCTTGTAAAGTGGCAGTAACTTGTGCTCAGTATTGTTGGCTGGCCAAATGGGAATTGTTTCTTGTTCTTTGTACCATATTGTTCAAGCAATTGATTTTAAACAATTCTTGAAACTTATGAATTTGTCCTTTTGGTGCTAAGATATGCACAGCTGCATCATGGCTTTTATTCCTCCTGCTTTTTCCCAGATTCAAAGTGAAATGTGATTAACAACATATCCATCGGCATCCATTCCTAAACCCAGGAATGCCGACATGATGAAATGTGTGTCGTGACATCATTGCGCAAGCTCAGCCCTTTTTGTAGTTGCGATGTGATCACACACAAGAATGCAAGGAACACAGTTTGCCTCACGACATTGTGATGCACAGTGCATTGCTTGTTGTAGAAGAATGCTTAAATAACCTTGGAATAGCAAAGGTGAAATAAAAGATAATTCAGCTCTGGGGAAGGGAAGGTGTGAGAAAGAAACTCAAAATAATCCTGCCTTGAGTTTGATCAGTGTTAAGACTAGGCATAGAGAAAATCTGGCAGGCTTTCAGTTAGTATGAAGGTTAAAATTTCCCCTGTCCAGATGTTTCTGACTCTAGGTGGCAATGCTCATCTCCATTTCTTAGCCAAGGGTACCAGTGTTATCTGAAGACATTTCCATGGTCATGTGGCCAAGGCGTATGGAACACTGTTACCTTCCCACTGAAATGGTACCTATTTATCTACTTCCATTTGCATGTTTCCAAACTGTTAGGTGGGCAGGAGCTGGGGCAAATAACAGGAGTTCACCCCATCACAAGCCACTCAGGTCTTGAACCCAGGCTATCAGCTCCAGCTGACAAACTCAGTGTCTTTAACCACTGAGCACCATGCCCCCTTCAGTTAGTATACCATACTTGAATTAGTAGTGTTCATGTAATCTTTGAACTGTTTCTAGCTTGGTGTATCTCAATGGGGGACATTTGCCTTCACCCTGAAGATCTTATGAGGATATCTGCTATAACACTGACAGTAACACAACTTCCATAATGCAGTTGCAAAGCTCATTGCTTCTCTAAAATTATGGGGTGCAAGGTTACTGAAATACCTATAGCTAACATCAGCTTAAATGCTTTGACAAGAATCCTCCTATAAAGATAAGCAAAAAAAAAAAAAAAGCAAATTCAGATATCGCCACCAAATTAATTCTGTTTCTGACAGAAGTCTCTAATATTGGGACGAATCTATGTCTCCCATTCAAACTCTGTTCGTCTTCTTACTTTGTTGGAAAAGAGAAAATAGTGGAAAAAATATGGATTGGGGGGGGAAAAAATCACACTTTGGTAGAGAGAAGTTCCCTGAAGATGGGCTCGAGCAGGAGTCTGAAAGCTCAGAAGACTAAACCTCTGATCTTGGTGACCGACCGAAAAAGTTCCTAAGTAGCATTCCTGCTTTACATGTTTGAAAGTTGCCTTGTGGTGAGATAGCAGCTAACAAAATTTAAAAATAAATAAATAAAATAAAAAATAAAGAGCAGGGGGAAAATCCATTCTGTGTAAGTAAAGGAGGCAGGGAAGAAAAATCAATTTTGTATAATGGGTACAGCTAAGTTATTATATTACACAGGCATTAAAGTTACTTGGATCTGCCCATTCTCTCTCTAACCATCCCTTCTTGACCTCTTTTCTTGCACCAGTATTTGGAAGAATTAGGTGGCAGTCCGGATTTTGTACTAAATTACTTCTTAGGAAGGAAACATGTTGAATACACCGGACTTCCTTCCAAGTAAATGTAGAATTGTGCTGTAAATGTTTCCTTTGGGAATTGGTTTCATTTTTGAATAGTAATTTAGAAACAAGAGTAGACCCTTCTTTTCTGATTGTTTGACATAAACTTATATATGGAGCGTATGTAGACTAGAGAGCATCACTTTATGGCTGGTATTGTAGCACATCCAGGAGGATATGAAGATCCAGTGATGACCTCTCTTTTCACATCACATGATGCTGTAACTGGAGGCTTGTGAAAGTGAGGAATGCTAATTTTCCCTTCTATTTTTTATGTACTGGGGAAGAGGGGTCCACTGCAGTGAAAACAATTTCTGAAATAGCTTGGTTTCATTTTCTTGTGCTTGAAGGGGAAAAAAATTCCAAATTTCTTACCTCTCTTGTAGTCACTTGAGTCACTTGAGTCTCACACTCAACGGGCTACAATGAATGAAAGAATCAACACATATTCATTCTGGGATATTATCAGTAGTCTTCCAGAGAATTCTCAGTTGAGAATTGAAACAGAAGTAAACAGTGCACATGTATTTTTTTACTTCTTTAAAAGGGAATTTTGATGTAAATTTTGCAGGTGTAAGGTGGGGACAATAAGTTACTGGTTGAAAATAGAATTTGATGGCTGCTAACCAAATCAAAGTGACACATGTAGAAGTATGGCTGGGATTCTAGAGTAAATATCTATAAGTTTTGAGCATTCTTTCCCAGAAGCCCTCTGGGTCTATATATCCTGGCCTCACCTCCTAGCTAGCCTGGTAGGAGATAATTACTGCTGTCACCAACTACCTTCTATGGAACACCTCAACTACTGTCCTTCATCTATCCAATCCATGGAAGATAAGACTCCCACAATTTGTTTTGCCGTTTAGTTTAGTTTAGAATAGAATAGAATAGAATAGAATAGAATAGAATAGAATAGAATAGAATTCTTTCTTGGCCAAGTGTGATTGGACACACAATGAACTTGTCTCCAGTATATAAACTCTTAGTGTACATTCAATCAACTGAGTGATAAATCACAGATCATAAATCATAAAATACAATCATAAATCATAAGATACAAACAATTGATAAATTATAATATACCAATAGGAGTAGGTAGTAGGAAAGATGAAAGATGACAAGGAAAATAGTTATATAGTCTATTACATGGGTAAAAATCATTAGGCATAAGATAGTGTAGTGCTGTGGGAATGGGGTGTTTAGCAGAATGATGGCATTGGGGGAAGAAACTATCTTTGAGTCTAGCTGTTTTGGCATGCAATGCCTGTAGTGGCATCTTGAGGGGAGAAGTTGAAACAGTTTATGTCCAGGATGTGAGGGGTCTATACATACTTGTTTGTTTGTTTTTTGTTTGTTTACAGGTAAAACTGGAAAAAACAAAGAGACATTGTAGTACAACCTCCTGGTTTTGTAACATAAAGATGTGTAGTTAAAGGTTTCAGTTCTTCCTCCCTTCACTGGAAGATAAATTCATTTCATATGAGATAAATAAAACCAAATGTTATTTTTTTAAAAGGAACTCAAAATATAGATCATAAAACAGTGGTTGTCTGCTATATTTAAGGATATAGATTTTAAGCTCATAGAAAGAAGAGAAATCTTCGGAAAAACAGTCTTAAATTATACAGAATGTCCTACTTGCTCAGAAAAATAGGGCTAAGAGAAAAGGAAGCTTAAAACAAAGCCTCATTCAACATTTTTCTAAAGTTTTTACCTATTACTTAGAGACAACTGAATCCCAAGGCAAAGTCTTATTTCTTTTTATTCTGGACCTCTTCTGATTTATTAGTGTAATGCCAGTCATTTTTCAGAGATGCTGAGGGTATCAGGCACAGGAACTTCTTTTTCCCCTGGAGAAAGGGGAATCTCTCTTTAAAAGATTGAAATCTAATAATAGCAAATAGGGATGGTTAAACGCAAATGAAGTCCAGTCTTTAGACTAGCAGGGATGTTACAGTATTGTGAATGCAGACTGGTTATTTGTAACAACACATATACCCTTCCTTCCTTCCTTCCTTTTTTTGCAAATCAAACAGATAGAACTCAGTAATGAAGTAGGCAACCACTCTATTTTATAAATGGGAAAAGGGCTGAGACACAGAAACCTCCTCAAACATCCGCAGATGCGCTAAGTATGTTTCTTCCGTATCTCAAACAAGATATGGCACTTTATCCAATATGTTTTCCAGCATTATGCGAAAGTTCATATCTTTGCAGAGGTGTTTGTTTTTCCTTACTCTTTGCATGTGCAGCTTTGGGATAATTTGCTGAATCCTTCCAGAAATTTCTGGAAGGATTTCTTTTTCACTTGGTAGTATAAAATGAATCACTTAATTCTCTCCATCTAGGACTAATTTTAGAGATGCATCTCCCAGGAAAGCAATAATTTGTTTTACTGGGGCAAAACAGATTTTAGTTACAATAATAATGCCAACAAATACAGCAATCCTGGAAATACACAGGTTGCTATGGGGATTGTTTCCCCCCATAATCAAAGTTGTCTGACACAGAGATGTGTCACTGTTTATGTCAAGAAGTAACATTGAAGAAAATAACCCAGTGTGATATAAAAGGGACATTCAGAGGAAGGAAGGAAGGAAGGAAGGAAGGAAGGAAGGAAGGAAGGAAGGAGAGGGAGAGGGAGAGGGAGAGAAGAAAAAAAGAAAACAGAATTCTATTTGTGGCAGAAATAGAATTTTTAACATGACCATAAAATTTTTCTCAGAAGTAGCTGAATTCCCAGGCTCACCTTTAGTTACTTATATATCTACTCTTTAAATATGTGAATACTCATTTCTCCAATTTAGTTCAATCAATCAAACACACTGAAGGTTCAATTGTTAAATTGGATTACTTTAGACCTGTTGAGGGGATGAGTGCTGTACCTAGCTCTCTGCATTTCCTCACTACTGAACAATGAAACAGTACATTTTTAGATAATCCTCTTTCCTTTACTGGCAAGCTCCTCTTGCTGCTATTATGGTATTGTACAATATATGACAAAGAATTCAGGGCTGACCTTTATTTAGATAGATATAATAAGCTGCTTAAACATAGGCTATTGTAATTGCAATCACAATGGCAACTCCAAAACGTTATACTTATTTGAAATAATTTCACGTGACTTGTTTGCATGTCAGTTATTAGATCAGAGCAGTCCAGCCTTGGCAACTTTAAGACTTGTGAACTTCAACTCCCAGAATTCTCCAGTCAGAAGTCGTAAAGTTGCCAAGATTGGACACCTCTGTATTAGATAATGCAGTTCATTATATGAGCTTCCCTCTTCAAATTGTAAATTCTTTATGCTATTTGAACGTCATGGAAAGGCTCCTGCCATCCTCATTCATCTGTGATGGAAACTTTATTTGCTGTTTCCCACAGCTATGACCTTTCTTATTGTCACAGTGAAATTAGATAGAATGTAGATTTTATCCTCCTTTTTCCTTACATATATTTCTCTCTTATATCTTCGTTTCTTTGTGATAGCAAAAGAAAAATAGTAAAAAAGTAGAAATTGAATTTTCAAGCACAACACAAGCTTTTATCAGCTTTGTCTGAGCTTTTTGGTTATCACCACGGCAACTCAAAGAGTCATTGCCAATTTTTCCTCTTTTTACAGCCCATGTCTCATTTCAGCATTTTAGTCCTTTCATCCGAAAGGTCTTTAGTTAAAGCTGAAATCAATCTAAAAATTAATGATATTTATCAGGGAAATAATAATTGATTTAAATACAAATGACAGCAATTTACCCATGAATCTAATTTTTTAAAGTAATATGGTTATCAATAGTCTCGGATAATTTTTTTATCAGATATGCACTGATATATTTAGCTTAATTTTGGTCAAGCTGATCTTAATTGGTAGATGATGATTTGGGAGTCAGATATTTTTGGCTCAAATCTCATAACAATGCTGAACTTGTTTGGGTGACTCCCATCTTCCATATGATAATCAAACTATTGAGCTAGACCTCAACATTTTGGCTTGGAGCGGGTAGGAGACAAGAATTTTTCTATCAGCAAAATAATCTTTCGTTGGAGAATGATTATTAGAAGAAGGGAACCTGGGAATCTATGCTTGGCTCTAAATTAATTTGTCTGGTAGCATTGGTTATGAAAATATATTGATATGCTCTGAATATTCTAAAACACTAGAGTATCTCTTATTTGGTAAAAAGAAAAAATAAATCATAATACATGCAAATGTTGAAAAAATTATAAATTTGTAGATGTTAATGCCATAACAGAGATGTTAAAATTTGGATGTACTTTGTTTAAGGAATGGCTGTGCAACTATTTTAACATAAGGAAGACTTCATCCATAACTGACAACTGAAAGCTTGCATTATTGTTCCTTTATATTACCCAACTAAGATGTACAGTATTACTGTATTTGTCTACACAAGGCTATATTTCTAAAAGTTGACACAGGTTTTGTTTCAAATAAATAGAATGCATTCATTCATTCATTCATTCATTCATTCATTCATTCATTCATTCTTCACTCTTCATTTTCTTGCAGAAGGAAATGACGGAAAGGATTTGCCATTAAAGATAACTTAGACAAGGTTGCAAGATCAACATTTATATGGACAAGGTGTTCTGATGATGCTCCAATGGACAAATCCCTATGAATCTGAGGAACTTTCAGTCTCTGAGTAAGCTTCCAATACAATTTAAATTAATTTCTATGGACTTCAGTAATTTTATTTTCCTTTCTTTCACTTGTGATTCTTGCCACCTGTATTGTTTTATTTTGCATTCATCTTCTGGAAGCTGCAGATAACCCATCTACAATGGCTGGAAAACGAGGAGAATATTCCAAGTGGAAGAATGTCACCATCCTGCATTACCTGTCAAAGAACAAAAGATTTTTCTGTAATTCTATCTTGTATTTCAAGGAAGCATGGACGATCCTTCAAAAATGTGAATAAATCTTTCTAATAAATAACTAAAAATAGTTTAATTTAGAAAGGCAGAGATACTGCCCAACGGGATGCAAGTGTGATGGATGGTAGAGAAATGTGATAGATAAATAAATAAATAATAAAATATTTTGAAAAATATAGTAGCACTGAGATTATTTGATTGGAAAATTATTTTTTTTCCTGTAAAGCACAAGTGAATAAGGAAATAAGAGTATTTCTTGGAAGCATTAAGCAGCCGTTTGGTTTAGATTTCTCCTAATTTCAATTGCCTTGCATATATTGACATCTAGTATATATTGAAAAAAGCATAGATGCATTCTACTAAAATAACCAGCATAGCATTTGATTTTAGGTTACTTGTATCAGTGAGTCAAACAGCACTAGGTGGAGAAATATAACTACCACCATCATGTTGATATCAAGCTCAGCAACATAATGAATGCCATAAAACTATCAAATAATTTCTTAACAGAATATAGTTATGGGCCATGAAACACACACCCTTTGCTTAACGAATTCTAGTGAATTTATTTTATATAAGTCATTAAGATTCTATTAAAAATTGAGCTGGGAAGTGAGATTAATGGTCCATGTAGCTCAGTCCTCTCAATGCTGGCAAACTGCAGATAGTAACCCAAACAAAATTTCAAGTGTTGAAATACCCGAGATTGAATCTGAGCCAGGATCTTTCCATAGTTTTAAACTGGGTTATTTCGAGGGAGGGGGGGCTTTTTTTGGTTTCTATTCTCTTCTTTTACTTTTCTTCTACTTTCTTTCACTTTCTACATCAGTTATTTATAATTTATGTTGCCTTCTCATTTTTCCCCACAACTTTCACAAGTTGAGGGATAATCACACTTACCTGTGGCATGAAAAACATACAGGTTCATATTGTCTTCAAGCAAAGAAGTTAAAAGAAAGACCACAGAGAAAATAATTTCTACAAATAAATAAAATGCCAATGGGTTTGTCATTTTCATTCCCTTTTCTGGTTTACATTTGTGCACAAATATACTGTATATTCTTTTCTCCACCCAGCCCTTTTGTCCACTGAATATATTCAAGTACAATTTTAATTCCTATTCTTCAGTGCCAATTTTATGTTGTTTTAAAATTCTTTGGAGAGTCAGATTAGTGTAGTGGTTAAGGTATCAGGACAGAAACCAGGAGAGTATCTAATTCTGCCTTAGGCACAAAGCCAACTGCGTGACTTTGGGCCAGTCACTCTCTCAACCCTACAAAGCAAGCAACGGCAACCAGTGTTAGAAAACCTTGAGAAGGGAGTACCTTGCAGGGACTAGTTCAGGCAGTCAACAGGAGTCAACCCTGATTTGAAGATGTGAGCGCGCGCACACCAGTGGTGGGTTCCTCCTGGTTCGGCCCGGTTCGGCCGAGCCAGTAGCGGTGACGATATGACATCACCGAACTGGTTCTCTTTGTTCGGGAGCTGGGCCCTGCCACCTGCCCCCGCGTTATTCTTACCTTTTATTTGGCCCCGCTCCCAATCTATTCGCTGCCTCCCGAGTCCCAGCTGATCGGCTAGAAGGAAAAAAACTGTTTAAACCCTTGCCACGGGGCTTCAAAGGGCCACCCTACAGCTGATCAGTGTTAAAAGGCAGTGTGGTAGTAGACCAGTGCGCTCGAAAAACAAATGGGTAGACCTGTGCACTCCAAAAACAAATGGGTAGACCGGTGCCTCCAAAAACAAATGGGTAGACTGGAACGCTCCAAGAACAAATGGGTAGACTGGTACAGCTCTGCAAGCAGTTAAAAGCCTGGTAGACCAGTACCTCTGCTAAATCCTAAAGAATTGTCATCTGACCATCAAACCATGCCCACAAAATAAGCCACGCCCACAGAACCAGTAGTAAAAAAATTTAGAACCCAGCCCTGGTGCGCACACACACAAGTTCACGTTATCACGTTTATTAAAAATATGGAATGAATCTCAGTCAATTCCCTTTATTTATTAAGCCTTCAGGTCGCAAACAAAATAAAAAGGAAAAATGATAAAAATGAAAAAACTTCAATAAAGATATATAACAATCCTATCTTAAAATCTTATTATGGATCCCCTGCCAAAGCCTTAATGCTAGGTAACAAAACTTTCCAACATTCTGAGTTGTGCAAGTCTTACCTGTTTATCTAACATGCAATTATTACACCATCTTCTAACCCATGGTTTTTCAAACTCTGTTTTGCAAGGACCCTAGGGTTCCATGAGAAATTGATGAGGTCCATAAGAGACTGCGGTTCGGTTGAATGCAGCTTAAATTTTGTCCCGTGAACTTTGTCTTTTGATCAAGGATTCTAGCAATTTGATTGTTTTTTTTTATAACCAGCAGGCTCCACAGCCTGAAAATAAATCCGATACTCCCTGCTCTTAACTGACATATTTGTTTGTACACTAATCTGTGTCATACTGGGTGATCAATTGTGTGAACGTCCACATCCCATGGTGTCAACTTTATTCAAAAGCTGAGCTGGTTTATTTCTGTCTCTGGTGAAGTACATTTGAAGCTATTGTGGAACTAAAAGTTTCTTTGAAATGCAACCCGTTCTCCGTCTCCAGGGATTCTAGCCTCACTGTGGCTCCTGCTCTTTGATCTTCACAGGATTTGGAAGCAAAGAATTTGGTGGTCTTTTTGTTCTAGTAGGAACTGTCACACCAAAGCAAATAAGGTAGTCCTCAATTTACAACAGTTCATTTAGTGACTGTTCAAAATTACAACGGCACTGAAAAATGGGATTTACGACCGGTTTTCATGGGATGCTGTAAAGACCGAGATACGGCCTGTGTAGCATCCCCATGATCATGTGATCAAAATTCAGATGCTTGGCAACAGGTTCATGTTTATGACTCACTGTGTCCCAGGGTCATGTGATCACCTTTTGCGACCTTCTGACAAGCAAAGTCAATGGGGAAGCCAGATTCACTTAACATCTGTGTTACTAACTTATCAACTGCAGAAATTCACTTAACAACTATGGTAAGAAAGGTGGTAAAATGGGCCAAAACTCACTTAACAAACGTCTCGCTTAACAACAGAAATTCTGGGCGCAATTGAGGTCATAAGTCGAGGACTACCTGTGAACAAAGTAAAGAGGTGGACTGTCTGAACATCTTAACCATTGCATCGTACTGGCTCTTTAAGATATGTTATCTTTTTTTCCCTTTTTACAGGAAGAAAAAGTATATAATGTCTTGTTAGTAACCAACATCAGAATATACTCTGAACCTAATGAAAATGGAAAGAATAGAGCTTTAATGTTGCCTACAGGTCTTATTTTAGAGCCATTCTTTTTTTTTTTTTAACCGTAAATGGATTTAGCAGGCCATTATTTCTCTTCCTGGTAGTTAGTGAGCTCAGTAAATATGTAGACAAAAGACTTCAGGGATATGAGGCATAATTAGATGAGCATTTAGAAAGCACAGACATCTTCCCATAATAACTAGGACATTGTATCATACTATCATGTACCTAAATTAGAGTTACTAGTCTTCCATGCTGCGGCTTAGTTCTTCCTCTAAAATTATTTTGTTTTCTATGCCAATTAGATTAAAGACTTTGCACTTGGCTTAGATAATTTTTTCTCCTAAAATGACATGTTGTTCATATTTAGGTGGACTTGAAGAATTAAACATTAAGCAGACTGAACTGTAAGAAATACTATCCTCATTCAAGATATTCTAAAACTTTGGCAAAAGAAGGCAAAAATAATACCAATAGTAATAGGTTCCTTGGGCGCAAACCCAAAACTTCTGGAACTCCACTTGAACACCATCAGCACTGACAAAATTACCAATGGCAAAAAGGCAGCTTTACTTGGAACAGCTTACATCCTGCGATGATTCTTTTAACACCATCAAACACTGATATCTTTCTTCCCAAAGTTCTTGGGAATGACCCGATAGGTGGATAAAAATGCCAAATCTAGTCCAAATATCTGGCTGACAGTGCAACCAACATTAACAATAATCCTGCCCGTGGTTACCCTCTTGTGATATTTTGATGAGGTTGAGAGCTATGCTGGCGGTGACATATTCTACCAGAAGGGTCACTCATGTCAGACAAATCTCAGAAGAATTAGACCAGTGTTGGTGAACTTTTTCAGCACCGAGTGCTGAAATGGGAGCGCAGCATGCGTGTGCTGGAAACCAGAAGAGCAGCCGCCGGGAACATGATCTTCTGATTTCCGGCATCCACATGCACACCAGCCAGTTGGTCTTTCGGTTTCTTGCACACATGGGTACGCGAAGACCAGCTGGACGGAGCACATGCATGTGCCAGAAACCAGAAGAGCAGCCATTCGGTGTACATCCATGCGCCGGGAAGATGATTTTCCGGTTTCCGGCACGTGCATGCATGCCGGCCACCTGGTCTTCCGGTTTCTGCTGGCCGGTGTGCATGCGTATGCCTGAAACCAGAAGATCATCTTCCTGGCGCATGCATGTTCACCAGGCGGCTGCTCTTTCGATTTCCGGTGGTCCCACGTGCATGAAAACCAGCAGGCCAGTGCTCCGGAACCTGGAAGATCAACGGGCAATGGCTCGTGTGCCTGGGGAGATGGCACTGCGTGCCACTTCCAGCATGTGTGCCATAGGTTCACCATCATGGAACTAGACCAAGTCTATCCATTAACCCATTTACTACACAAGAGTGGGAAAACAACAAAAGAATTTTATATTGGATCAGTCATCACCTGTCAACAAGGACTGCATCAGATGTAAGCATTCCTGGGCATCTAGGCAAGTAGGCAATGGGACTCAGAAGTTACGTCTTGGCAAGTAAGGCTCAACCCTGTGTGATCTGTTCAATGATTCATCCATTTTGGGGGTCTTTGGGGATATCCATAGTATTCTATGGAGTTTTCTCTAACACTAAAGTTCAAATGTGAATATGTTTTCTGTGCTGCTTGTTCAAGTTCCAAGTTTCACTTTCACAGAATGTCAAAGGTAGAAACCATTGCCTACATGATTCTAATCCCAGCATCTGATTATCTTTTCCAAGGCCTTCAGAACTGCTCTACCAAGTCCTGTCAATTCATTTACTGTTGACAGTTCATCCTAAAAGTTGGAAGCTATTCACCTTTTTGAATATTTAATCTTAGTCCCGTTTTTGACTGCATGTTTGATT